CTATTACTGACCACAAGCACTCCTTTCTGTCCTGGAACTGTGAGGAGGGTTTCTTCTTCACAGCCACTACAAGCTCAACCTTGCCAGTGCTCCTCCTCACCTCAGGACCGCCTCCCAGAACCGTGACCAGATCCAAGCACGGGCAAAGCAAGAGATTCAGGCCTCAGCACTGGCAAAGAGATCCCTGCAATCCCTCTCTGATCAGCTACTCGATTCTCCCTCAGTCTATGGGCCAGAAGCTCAGGATACAGCCACTGCCCCCAGGGCCATGCTCACTGGGGAACTGGATCTGAGACCCCACACTCCTCTCTCAGCACCACAGAAACACACTTTTCCCACTGACCTTCTCAGTTGTCTTTGACGTTCATGGGTTTAGAGGAAGCTGCCACAGCTGCATGCTATGCTACTGAAACTGGTCTTATCAAATATATCTCATTGACTAAACTCCTCAGCTTTTGTTTTCAGTCCTCATCTTTTCTGAAAGTTTTATAATTGCTGAATACCCACTTCCTATTGGATATTATGCCTCCTATTGGATATTATGCCTCCATTAGTTTCAGAAGCATCACACTCTCCTGCTTCTCCTTTTATTTCTCCTAAATCTCTCTACCTGGATGACCCACTGGAACCTCAAATGCAATATGTTTCCTCTGAAACACCAACTTCTCCTTCTGATGGTACTGTTTCTTTCTGTAGAATCAACCTTTCACTCTGTTTCCTGGGTTTATGAGCCTGAGATTCTTTTAACTAAAACTTCCCTCTCCCACACCTTTTACATTTAAATTCTATTAATTTCACCTCCACAAAATTCCTTGCATATATCTCTTTCTTATTCCAACCATCACCACACTTGCATAGGGCTTCATTTTACACTTTCCTAGTCTGTTTACAGTATAAAATAAATACTTTTTCAGTAATTCACTTCAATGGATCTGTGCTCTAATACATGTTGGTATATTCTCCAACAATACAGATCACAAGCTTACCTTTCTCATAAGACTGTATATATATATATATATATAAATATATATATGTATATATATATATATATATATATATATATACATATACATATATATATATATGCACACACACACACACACACACACACACACACACACACACACCCCATGGTGTGTGATGCCAGACTAAGGACTTCCTCACACTAAGGTTAGTCTCCCTTTGCCATCATTCTGGGCCACCTCTGGCTTAACGTCTCCTGGTTGTCCTGGTTTGTTACGTGGTTCTCCCCTTATTACTTTCTATAAACTGTTTTTTTTTTTCAGTCTCCTTTGCTAAACCTTTCTACCAGTCCCATTCCCTAACTGCGGACTTCCCCCAAATCTCTGTCCTGAGCCCTCTTCTCTCTAGTCTTCACAATCTCTCTGTGATCTCATAAGTTCAATTACCTTTATAAAGATGATTCTCAAATCTATATATCCAGCCCTAACTCTTCCTTGAACTGCAGTCGATATCTATCACTGACTGCCTGCTACTGGATATCTCCATCTCAGTGTCCCAAAGGCATTTCAAACTCAACCTGTCTAAAAAGGAATTATTCATTATACTTTTTCAGTATTCCCTCCCTCCCATAATTCGGCCCCTTCTCTAAACTTCGCTGTTTTTATTGAGGGCATCACCATCCTTGCAGTTACCTAGGTTCACAATCTTAGAATCACCCTTTCTCTTTCCTCAACCCCTACTATAGCCAATCAATTGCCAAGTTTTCTTGAATTATTGTAGACCAAGTTCAAGATTTTAAATGCAATAAGTGCTCCCAGACCATGATCCAATTAAAAAACATTTTACTGTTTAAAAGTCAAAACAACACACCATATAAAATAAGAACAAAACACTACTCAACTCTTCCTATAGTCATCAACACATTAAGGAATTCAAAGACATTAAGGTGAAGTTTAGCTTAATTTGTCTTTATATTTCAAAAAGCAGAACCTTGCCTACTTCTTAAAGGGTCTATCTAGCTAGTTCCCCTGTGGCTAGTATATGAAGAGATAGGTGGAGTAGCCAGGGAGAAAGGAAGTTCAGAGAAGCAATGGAGTATTGGTAAAAAGGAACTTGCAGGCACAGTGGTTACACTCAGAAATTTGAAGACAGTTCAGTCATTCCTCCCAACAACTATCATCCAGTGCCCCACTTGTTGTCTGCATACCTCCTACCTCATGAATATATCTCCACATCCCTCCTATCTACATCTTTCATTTCCCTCACATGAAGTTCCTACATCAGGCCTTCTTGATGGGATGATTGCAAAAATCTTTCAGCTGGTCTCCTTGTTACGTCATTCTCTAATCCATTCCCCACACAGCTATCAAAACCTTCTTATAACAATCTGAACATATCAGTTCCATGCTCAAGAATCTTCAATGGCTCCCTATTGCCTCTGGAATAAAATATACATTCAGCCTGGCATTTTAATGCCTCTCACACTTTGGTTCACCCTTATTCTTCTATACTTATTTCATTCGACTCCCCTTTACTTTATACTTGCTAACCTGGCCTACCTGCTGTTTCCCAAATTCAGAACTGCATCCTCTGCTTGGTGCCCTTTGCACAGATGGCATTCCATTCCTAGAATGCACTTGCTTCTTATCTCCACCTCTTAGAATCTTTAGTTTTCATCAAGGTTCTGTTCAGGTATCGCACTCCCAAGAAGCCTTTCACAATTCTCGTAGTAATTAGTCTCCTTTCCTGCTCAAATTATCTATTTACTTATATGTTTTATGCCTCAGTAGAAGATAAACTTCCTGAATAAAGTACTAATGAGCTGCCTAAACTAAACTAAAACTAATAAAGTTTGCCCTTTTTGTCTGGGAATCCCAAAGCCTAACATTATTGCTCATAGCAGGCACTTTAATACATGCTTGTTTAATTGAATTAGCCTTATAAAAGCTTACTTAGGGAGCATATTTCTTGTGGTTCACTGACTTCAAGAGAGTCTCTGGCACCAACTTCAAATCAAATAAAGTGACTACAAATTATGATGTGCTTTCTCCTTTTGATACATGGCAAATTTGAAGAAAACCTGATTCTTAAACTATCCTATAAATCACCTCAATTTATCCCTAATATAAGTAGTATGTATTGCATAATTTCTTAATAATCAAGCATTTATTAAGCATTTATGTACCAGATACTACGGATGGAGAGACAAAACCCCCTTGTCTTCAAGAACCTTCTATTTTTAAGTGGGAGATAATATGTCAGATTATATACAAAATAAATGTGATAATGAGGGCAGCATTTAGTGCCTGAGGGACAACAGGAGGGAATAAGAAAGGCTAAAAGTATGCAAACTAAGCTTTGAACAAAACCAGAAAGAGATGGATATGTGGAGGGGAGTGTACTCTTAAGTATAAAGGACAGCTAAGCTAAAAAAAGGGCAAAGGGCCATGGAAATAGTGTTGAGTGTGAGGCACACCAAGTCAGTCAGAAAGACTAGAATACAAGAAGGAGAGTAATGTATTAAAAGGCTGTAGGCTAGGGGCAGGTTGTAAAAGGCTTTAGGTATTAAACAGTTTGTAATTTGTTCTAGAGATAATAGGGAACCTTCAGGGTATAATGAAGATTATTTAGCAGGCTATTGTAATTATAATAGCCCAGATCCAGGCTGTAGCCCTGTGTGTTGAGAAAAGGAGAGAGATGTGAAAGATGTTGCAGACACCTTGGTAGGCTTGGCAAATGACTAAGTACATGGGGTGAGGAGTTCAACACACCTCTGAGACTGAGAATCTGGGCAACTAGGAAAGACTAAGTGTATAGATAGGATTATGATAATATGGCATGACTTTCAACAACTCCTGCTAGTTAATGGTATCTATCTAGGGGTAAGGGTGGCAAGGAAAATGTGCGCTTCCAAGTCCTTCAGCATACTAATTCCCTCTGGGAATATCTTTTATTTAGAGAGAGGGAAGGGGTAAAAGATTGAGGATAAGCTAGCTACATTTTATTATGAGTACATGCGAAAATTAAAATTACTGTACAAGGTGCTGTGGGTGAGGTAAAAGGTTAGAAATGTTCTGTTATCACTAAACAACTTGATGGACGATTTTGATCATTGAAGAATTTAAGGAGAAAAGCAGGAGACTTGAGTTCCCCTATCTTCATTTGTCTAATGGATTTAACAACAGTCGGTTAGATCTGAAATTCTGGCCAAATGTAATTTTTCTCAGGTTTTTCTTCAATTCATAGCGTGTGCGTGTTGAGAGAGAGAGAGAGAGAGAGAGAGGAGAGAGAGAGAGAGAGAGAGAGAGAGAGAGAGAGAGAAAGGGAGGACGGAGAATGGTCAAGATTTCGGGCTGAGAGCAGACTGCAGCTCATCTTGGTGGAGACAGATGTTTAAGTCTGTCCTGGGCTAGTAAAACTCCTGCCTCTCCTGGACGGCCTCAGGCAGGGATCCAGGCTGAGTCCGCGGGTTTCTATCAGTCTGCAAATAGCAATGCAAGGGAACAGCCCAGCACTGGGCAGAGTAACTTGGAGTCAAGAAGTATTTACTTTCCTAAGTGCCTTCTTCCTACATACAAGCCAAGCAGCCTAGACCCCTTCTTTCCCCAATGCCTAGTGCATTGGAAAGAGCTTTGAGGTCAGAGGACCTGGGTTCCAATCCAGCCTCCGCCACTGCCTATAGGACCTCGGTAAAGTCACTTGACCTCTCTGGGCCTCCCCTCTCGTTTCCTCATCTGTACAAAAAGACTGGTGGGCCAGAGGCCCCTGAGATCGTGTCTCGGTCAAAATTTATGACACCGCGACCTACCTGGACCAGTCACAAAACTCACTGCAAAAGCAGCCGCACACCGCGCCCACAAAAGGCAACTTCCTCAACCGCGTTCCTAGACCCCAAACGGCCACCAACCGCCCGGATTCCTGGGCGGCCTGGCCCCCTCCGCGCGCAGCGCCCCCGCCACAGGAAACCAAGCCCTTCCCCCGGGCTCCCCCGGCTCTTCCGCGGGCTCCCCCGGCTCTTCCGCAGGCTCCCAGCCTACCCAGACTAGCGCTCCAGTGACTGGGGCCCGCGCCGCTCCGGGCCCGCGTGCAGCCTTGGCTGGGGTTTTTAAGTTTCTGTTGCCCCGCGTCGGCGTCTTCTTGTCGAGCCTGGGGCTGCCACACCGTTTTTTCCTGCGGTCGCGCCATGCTCCTCGACCTGCACGCTCCTGGGCCGCCTGCAGCCTCCCAGCTACCCCGGGCCAGTACTACAGTCCGCCGCCCCCCAGCCCCAGCCTCGCCTGGACTGACGCCCGGCCCGGAGCCAGAGTGAGGCGGAGGAAAGGTGAGAGGGGGAAGTGGCCCGACCTGGGGGAGTGACGTGGCCTCAGGGCGCCGCTGGGGTTGGGGGATGGGGGAGGGGGCGCGGGGTGAGCTTGCTGGGCTGAAGAGCGATTCAAGGGAATGAGTTTTGGGAACCGCCCCTCCCTTCCCCCCGATCAGCAAGCACCCGGAGGTGGGGCTGTCCTTTCTCTCATTCACTTGCTTAACCAAGTATGTGTTGGGCCCTTACTTGCACGGCCTTGCAAGGACTGCATCCTGTTGTGAGCGAGAGAGAAGCAGGGAACTGAAGAATGCGACTGGCCGGGCAAGAACCGGGACCCTTTTCTAGCCTTTAATGCATCGGTCAGAAGAATTGTGCTCGTTTTCTTACCTTAGTAAACTAAATATCCGAATTAATTGTTGATTCTCTTAGTAAAATAACACTATCCTCTAGTAAGATAATTATATGAAGTGTTAATTCTGTTCTTTTAAAAACAATGCCTACAGATCTCCAAAATGAGAAACAAGAGCAAGGACCTTACTCTACCTACCAGTCGCTATGCCTCTTGTGGGAAATATGACCATTTGATCTTTGTAATAATTGCCAAGGAGAAAGTTATAGATTGGACCCCAGATTCCCTGACTTAATCCACCTGTAGTTCAGAATTATTTCATTCTGAAATTGTAACTATCACACGTTTTCAGAAAGAAAAAAAAACACCCTCTCAAAGAGGCTGGGGCCATTTTCTTTATCTCAGTACTTAGATGAGAAACGAAAAAGGAATTTCAACAGATATTAAACAGTTATCTTATTCTAAGAAGAGAAGAGGGAAGTCATCCGAAAGCACATTAGTGTATCAAAGGTTGTTTACCAGATCTATACAAGTTTCTTTGAATTTTTTTTTTCCAAAGAGAATCATACCTCTAGAGCTGGAAAGGTCCTTAGAGATAATATAGCACAACCTCCCCGTTTTTCAGCTGAGGAAACTGAGTGCCAGAGACATTAATCCACTTTCTGTGGTAAGTACTACTTTACTACACAGATAGTGTAAACTCAACTTTTGTAACTACAGTCTTGCTTATATCATGCAGACTTCCTATCATTTAATATATTTCTATTCCACTTCTATTACTGTCCTACTCCAGGTTTATATGAGAATAGCTCACATTTATGTGTAATTTTACAATTTATAAAGTGCTTTTCTCACAACTACCCTATAAAGTTCGGAGTGGAAGTTGTAGTATCCTCATTTTACAGAGGAAACTGAGCCCCAAAGAGATTTAATTGGCCAGTAGTCTCACAGAGTAGCTCAAAGTATTGGAATAATGGACAGTTATATAGTACTTTAAAGTTTTCAAAATGCTTTACATACTTCACAGGAACCTCATAACAACCTTGTGAGTTGTTATATATCACAAGCATATTTTCAGTACCTTTTATGTAATAGACACTGTTCTAAGTGATAGAGATACAAAGAAAGGTAAAAGACAGTCCCTGCTCTCAAAAAGCTTAGGTATTATCTCCATTTTATACATGGAGAAATGAAACTTCATGGAGGTAAATGAAATTGCCTGTGCTTGCATATAGCAGTTGAAGTGATGGACTTAATGATTTCCCATTCTTCTAACAGTTGTGGTGGTTGATATCTGTTATTTCTAATGGGGTTGGACAGTTCAGAGGGGGGAGAGAAGAAGTGAAATGGTTTCCTTTACTCTTTTCCTCAACTCTTAACTACTACTCTCACTTCTAATAGATAGAAGAAAGAGAAAAAATAAGGGAAAGACTGACTGGAAGTAGAGGAAAGGGGAGAGGACAAGGAGGAAGAAATGATAGAGGAATGATAGTATGCATTCTGGAACAGTTTTCTTTGGCTGTCTTGCATCTGTCTATCCATTATTTTCCTATGTCCTGGCATTATACCAGTTCCGGCCCTTGGTACTTCATACAGTCCAAGCTGAAAGAGACCTTCAAGTTAGACTCACTTTATGAATGAAAACATTGAGGCCTAGACAAAGTAGGTGATTTATCCAGTTAGTCAAAGAGAGGCTGGCCCTGGAACTCATATCATCTGACTTACAGGCTGGTGCTAGACTGTGTTGCCACCACTAGCCCTAGATTACAGTAAGATCTTCTAGTTTCTCTTTAACGCAATATATCTTTTCTGTCTAGAAGGGGGAGGGAGAGCAGCTTCTGAAAAATAGCAGATTCTTTTTTAAAAATAACCAAATATATCAAAATTTTTTTTAACCATACGTGAGATTTCATTAGTATAGGAACACCCAGTGATGAAATTCTCACTACTAATTCAGATTGGCACCTGCTCTTTGGTTTATATATTCTAGAGAGGTAAAGTAATTTGCCCAAGGTCACATAGCCGAAATATATCAGAAGTGAAACTCAATTCAGATGTTCCTGACTGTGAAAGAAGTTCTATCCACTGTACTATGCTAGCTCCCATGTACCTTGTGGCAAATTAATGGTGCTGAGTAAAAGCTCTGATATTGTTCATTTCAGAATTCTCTGAGTTTCTCATCTCTACTAGATAAAATCAAAATTCCCTAGGCTGGAATTCTTAGCCATAGCCTCTATTCCCTGACTCCAAACTGCCTTTCTGAGGCTGTCTCTCAATTTTACCCTAATCTTACCCTGTGTCAAAGCCAAGCTACACTACTCACTATCACACTCTCCCTTGTCATTCTGTAGCAGCCAATATCTTCTGACTTTCATGACTTTGCTCATACCTTAACTGCTACCAGGAATATCCTCCTCTGGCATTTTTGTCTGCTAAAATCTTAGTCATCTTTGAAGGCTTACCTTCAGTACCATCAACTTATTTATGTGTATCCACCCCATACTCCTTCTTTAGAAAAAAAAAAAAGGCAAGACTGTAATTTCTCCCTTCCTCCCTCTTCCCCATAGCACTTTGTGCCCCTCTTTTGGTGGTTATCATTTTCTGCCTTTCATATTACATTTTTTTATGTACGAACTTGTCTTTTCTCACTACTACAAATTCCTGGAAGGTTGTCTATCTTCTTTGTCTTTATTTCCTAAAAAGACCCAGTAGAATAACTTGCACGTAGTAGTTATTCAACACGTATTTATTGAATTATCAAGTTAAAAAGAAAGAAAATGAAATATTTTCCATTCCTCATTAAGTTCTTATTATAAGTGTTGCAAATGATACTATTATAATGGTAGAAGACAGAAAATCTATGAGTGATTACAGTTGAGTGCAAAGAACACTGAACCAGGATTCAGGACACTTGGATTCTAGTGCCACCTAGACCTTGCCTCACCTTTTGAAGGTCTTTTAATTTCCCTGGGCCTTCTCCATAAAATAGAAAAAACGTGACTTTCCCTGTGTGAAGAGACATGCATCAGGAGGCAATGCCACCTTGATTCTAGTGCTCTGAGACCTTGCATGTCCTTGGGCAATGCACTTAACTTCTCTTGCCTTAAATTCCCCAATTGTAAAATGAGGGGGTAGGCTTTATAATGTCTAAGGATCCATCCAGCTCCAGAGCTATGGTTTCTCTGGAAAAAAATCTAACAAATCTTTGACCCAACAAGCAGCATTTAGTAGCCTACTGTAATTTTAGATGACTTCACTTTTTAAACTATTGTACAAAATTTGTTGATTTCCCTTTTCAAGACCCTAGATGCTATGGTTATGTAAAATTTGATTAAGTAGTTTAAGAGCTTGTGCTTAATAAATGTTTCTTAAATTAAGAAAGAACATTTAGCAAATGAGTAAAGGATAGATATTTTACTTATTGTGTTCAGTAATAGTGGTGAATGATTTAGAAAGGTTGTCCCAAAAGCTTTTGCATTTTTAAGCTTTTATAGTTATTAAATATATCATTGTGTGTATGACTAAGTACATATCATTAGTAAATAGGTTACATTATCATTGGTATGATCTCAACCACACTCTTGTAGTTCCCCTTCTGGTCAATAGGACTTATAACAGGTTTAAAGGTGAAACAAAGTAAACCTGCCTCTAATGAAATCCTTGCTCCAGGTCTGATTAGTATGGTGTTCATGAACTAGCTGTTTTCTACACTTGAAATTGATTTCTTCTTTTGTTTTTAAGAATCATATAAATTGGGAGAAAGGAGAAGAAGGCTTGAACTTTCTGAAATTGGTTTTATTGATCTCTTCTGGAATTATCTCTTTAGGAATAAGTTTCTCATCTCACCAGAAAAATCCTTCTTGACTAGATAGGTTCTTCCTTCCAAACTACATTATTCTTGTCTTAAATGTTTTTGATACATATAATGTCAGGTTTGAGAGTGAACGTTAACCACTGCAGTAAAATGCTTTTCTATAATGAGAAAGATAGATGGAAACTTTCTGTCCTGTTTTGATCAGTTATGAATCAACATGGAATAAGTTCTTATTGATTGATTAAACACTTACGTGGCAAGTGTGCCCTAGGTTCTGGAGGGGATAAATACAAAAAAAAAAAGAAAGAAAGGAAACATTCTCTGCTCTCTAGGTTACAACAATATACTCACCAAGTGATCTTCCAGCTTTTGCTTGAAGACCTCCATTGAGGACTATATCTCTCAAAGCAGCCCAATACAATTTTGAAGACCTTTAATTTTTAGAAGCCTTCTCTTTGCACAAGAAAATTAAATTTTCTACTTTATAATTTCTACCTATTTTTAGTTCTAGCCTCTGGGTTCAAACACAACAAGTATATTCTGTCTTTGAGGTGACAGTTCTTCAAATAGAATAAATAACTTCTAGAGAACTCTCACTTTCTCCTTAAGTTTCCTTATGAAAAACCCACAGTTTGTTGTGTCTCCCAACATGTACTGCAAGTCAGAAATTACATTCATTTTAATTCTTAACTTTATTCTCTTTGCCCTTCCTTCCCTCTTTCCCTATCCCCACTGATTCCTCCAATTACCACACTCCAACCCAATGAAAAAGAATGAGAGCATCCCTCAGCCACATCTACCATTTCTTTGTAGATCTCTGAGTTTTAACCTGTTGAATTAAAGTAATTCAATTAATAAGTATTTATTATGTACATATGATGAGCCAAACACTCTGCTAGGCACTGGGGATAGATGCACAGAGGAAAACAATCGCTATTTACAAGGAGCTTACATCCTAATGAGAGAGAAAATAAGTACATCCAAAATAATTATAGTTAATAAAAATAATAGCTAACATTTATATAATGTCTATTACATGCCAGGCATTGTGCTACAAGTTTTTACAATTAGTGTCTCATTTGGTCCTCACAAAAACCCTGGGAGATAGGTGCTTTTATTATTCCCATTTTACAGTTTAATATAGAGGGCTTGCAGTGATGAGTTTGAGGATGTAGGCGAGGCTGGGTTTTACTTGTTGCCTGTCCTTTGTCCAAGGGCTGCCTAAGTCAGAATGTAGGCTGTCCAAGCCCTCCCTTGCTCTGTCTCTCCCTTGAGAACAGAAGGACCTTGAAAGATAACCGAGAAGTGAGGAGACATTTCAGGGGGAACTCCCCCCAGCTACTGTTCCCATTTGAAAAATTATTGTTGATACTTTGCCTTTTCCACTCTGGGTGCTGTTCTCATGAGTGGGGTATAAAAATACTAACCCTCAAATCAATAAACGGAACTTATTCTGAAATTGCTACCCACCTGGTCCGCATAATTTCTCTCTCTCTCATACTCGACCGGCAGTTAATCATGATGGTGGACGCAGGTGTCTGTGACAGGTGGCGCCCGAACAGGGACTCAGGGAGTCTGAAAGAGTGGCTTTCCCACTGGCGAGTAGCCGTGAAACAAGGTGGGCTGTTTGGCCAACAGCCATAACAAGGAGTGGCTCCAGCCGTCTGAAACAAGATGGTCAACAGGTTGCCTGAAAGAAGATGGCCCACTGTTTGAAAGAAAACGGCAAACAGGGTAAGGTCAATAATTTCTTCTTATGTAGTTCATCAGGTTTAGCGGGATATTAGATACAGATCAGTGTGTGTGTTTTATTTTCACTTTGAATTGAAGTACCTTGTTATATTCAGTTTACAGTGAAGGTGAAGTTACAGGAGCTGTTTGAGAATATAAGAAAATATAAGCAGTTGAGAAGGGGCATCATCAGCAGAGTGAAAACGTAGAGAATATTATTTACAAGTATTAAAATCATTAGTAAAAGACAGGGGATTATTGATCACTTCTGGACAACTGATTAAATTTTTAGATACAATGGAACAGTGTTGTCCTTGGTTTCCCAAAGAAGGGACCACGGATATAGAGACATGGGAAATAGTAGGTAAACAACTAAGTAGTTTCAAGAATGCAGACCTGGTGCTTCTCCAGTGTCCACTTTCTCAATTTGGAATACACTTAAAATATGTCTTCAAAAACCACAAAAGTAATTAAGATAAAAGTTTCTTGTGGCACCACAGAGGAGGAAGAAGTTGCAGATATGTTAACAAACAGAAAAATTAAAAATGAAGTATTAAAGTAGCTGAAGCTTCAAAACCCCCTCCACACTCTCCATGCCCAGAGCTGTAAGACAGACTCAAGCAGCATGATGAGAGGTCCCATATAGAACTACAGATTGCTTTGCCTCTTATAAAAATCAAGACCTTAAGAAAGATTTTCCCTGGTTTCCATAAAATCTGGAATACTATGAAAAGAAAAGATAAAATAAAATAAAAACAGTATTATTTAATTTGTGCAGGAGATTTCTTACAAGTCATCTGAGCTTTTGGATTCTCCCTGTCATTTTGTTATGTGTTGTCTGTGTATAATGTGTGTAATCTGCCTTCTCGGAGCAGGTGGATAAAGGAGAGAAGAAGAGAAAAAATATTTTATCATTTGGGTTATATGATTGATAAAAGTCAAGAAAGTTTAAGCATGAAGGAAGAGATGATTTGAGAGTAAAAGATTTGGAAACTTTTGGAGAACTGATAGGAAGAAATTCTTTCTTTTTGCATTCTAAGTCTCTGGCCAAAGCTTTGGATGTAAAATTGCAAGGTTATCAAAGATAAGTTATTGGAAGATATTCTCTTCCTTTTTCTCGCATTCCAACATTGGCCAAATTGGGGTGCGGGAGAGAGAATGAGAAAGGAGGGTAAATTTTTCGCTCCTCAGATCAAAAAGAAAAGTTTTTAACTATTAGAACACAAAAGATAATTTAGTTCATTCACATTAGTAATATGTTTGTTTCAAATTTTAAAAGAATCTAGTATTGTTACAGATTGGTAAACTTTTATATTGTTATGTGTTATGCCAAGCAATTTTTAATAATTTGGATGTTATTAAAATGTGAACTAAAAGTGACTGAAAGATAGTGGGAAAGGTATGCAAAACCAGCTAAATTATGTTATCAAGCCTTGTTAATCTTGTTTTATAATGTTTTATAACTGTCAATTAGAAAATCAGGTATTTCCATCTTTACCTGTAATTAAAGAACAGCTTATAGCTAAAACAATTTAACTATCACTTATGAAAATTACCAAATTGTTAATTAAGTTATTTGAAGTTACTGTTTTAAAGTTAAAATCCAGAATTTTTAATTACTTATGAGTGAAAAGGAGGGGCACAAGGCAGTTCCCTTTACTTTGTAAGATTGCCAAATCTCCTAACAACCAGCTGTGTGAGCAAGGTCTTCTGCCCTGAGAGAAGAACTTGTTAGGATTCTGCAGTTCCTAAACAATTAACTTAGCTTACCGAAAAGTTGCAACTTTTTAAAATGATTTCTAATAATTGGCTTTTTCACCAAAACAAGTTTAAATTTGAGAAAGAAAGGATGTTAAGTAAAATCAGTATGTGAGTCCTAGTAAATCTTTATTACTTATTACAATCTCAACTCCGTGAGAGTAAAATTAACTGTATCTGGCTTTAAGCTGTGATTAGTGAAATTTTCTGTTTGAGGTAAAAGACTCTTAGGAGTATAATTGATTTTGTTTTGAGTTTGAATTTGGGTATAGTTGTCTCCATTAAATCAGTATTTGAAGTTTTCTATTATGTTCCTTTAAGAAGGATTTTTCTCACCATGTGCCAAAATTTTGTTCATAACACTATTAAACCTGTTAGGCAAAAACATTCCCAGATGAAAATAATTTATGATATGGATGATAATCTTTGTGGACTTCCACTCCCAGGAGCCAAGATGGTGGAGTGAACAGGTAGTCACTGTCACTACCAACCTCTGAAAACCTGGAAAATATCACCCCAGAAAAAAACCCTAGAACAGCTGAACTAGAAGAAAGATGAGGAACAGCAATGCAGCAGCCCAGCAAACTGGTCTCCCAGTGCCTCAGCAATCATAAGGGAGGCAGAACTACAAGGGGCCCCAGGCGGATAAGCACCCTGCAGCATTCATCTGAAAGGAGCTGAAGAAAGCAACCCAAAGTCTTCCTAAAGCCCTGGCCTTGCTGGTTCCAGCCCAACACCAGGCAAGTTGTCAGAGCCCTGCAGCCTCCAATTGTGAAGAAATCTTGAAGCCCAGGTGGTAGAACAGGCAAACGCCAACACCTGGACCTCCAACTGCCTCAGTGAGGGTGGGGGGGAACCAGTGTAAACCACCTAGGAAAACCACCAGGTGCCTCGGCACTCTACCACAAAGGAATCTCCCAGTGCATTAGCAGAAACGAGGGAGACAACACTGCAGGGGGCCCCAGGCAGATAAACACCCTGCAGCACCCATCTAAAAGGATCTCAAGAAAGCTAAAGGAAAGGGAAAACAGGCAACCTAGAGTTGCCTGAAATTTCCAGCCCTGCTGACTCCAGCCCAACAGGAGGTAAGCTGCCAGAACTCTACAGCCTCTAATTACCAACATAAGAGGCCCCAGCACACAAAGCCAGGGACCAAGACCTAGGCTCCCAACACAAGAAGCTTGGGTCAGTGCCCTCTGTTCCCCAGCAGGAGAGCTCAATCTCTTTAAAGGCCAGGGAATAAAGAAACACCATGAGTAAAAAGAAATGTACCATAGATTCATATTACAAAAAGAGAGAAGATCAAAACAGAAATTCTGAAGAGAACAACGTTGTCAACAACCCACATCTGCGGCATCAAAAAGGAATATGAACTGGTCTGAAGCCCAAAAAGCCTTCTTAGAAGAGCTCAAGAAGGATTTTTTTTAACTATAAATTTATTTATTTTTAGTTTTCAATATTCACTTCCACAGGTTTTTAAGTTCCAAATTTTCACCCCATCTCACCCCTCCTCTCCCCACCCCAAGATGGCACGAATTCTGAATATCCCTTCCCCTAGTTTGTCCTCTCCTCTATCTCTCCCCCCTTCTCTTATCTCTTTCCGCTTCTATTTTCCTGTAGGACAAGATAGACTTCTGGACCCCATTTCCTGTATTTCTTATTTCCCAGTAGCATGTGAAAACATTTTTTTAAATATATGTTTTTTAAAACGTTAGGTTTCAAATTTTCTCTCTTCCTCCCTCCCCACCCACCCTCATTGAAAAGGCAAGCAACTCAGTATAGGTTGTAAATGTGCAGCTATGCAAAACACTTCCTTAGTAGACATGTGGTGAAAAACTAACTCTATTTCTCTTAATCCTATCCTGCTCCCCCATTTATTCTATTCTTTCTTTTGACCCTGTCCCTCCTCAGAAGTATTTACTTCTGATTACCCGCTTTCCCAATCTGCCCCCCTCTCTATTATCCCCCTGCTCTCTTGTCCCCTTCTTTTCCTATAGGGTAAGACAGATTTCCATACCCAATTGAATGTGTATGTTATTTACTCCTTAAGCCAAATCCTATGAGAATAAGATTCACTCATTCCCTCTCATCTTCCCTGATGTCCCCTCCACTGTAAGAGGCTTTTCTTTTCTGTTTCTTTTTTGTGAGAGAATTTACCCCATTCTACCTCTCCCTTTCTTCTTCTCTGAGTATAATCCTCTCTCATCCCTTAATTTATCTCTTCAGTTGAATTAGAAAAGTGGAATTGTAACTCAACACTGCGATGGCCAAACATGGGATCAAAAGGATGGTACTTTCCCAGCAGTTGGTAACATTCCTTAGATTCTTTGCATTTTAATATGTAGACACTGTGAAAATTTTAGGTCTTCAGATGGAAGACTTAAAAGATATCTCTGTAGCAGAATTGGAAATGTGGAATTGTAACTGAACTCTACTTTGGCGAAACCTATGTTAATTGAACACTACTATGGGCAAACATAGGATTGAATGGATGGGATTTTCTCATAGGTTTTTTGCAATTCTGGTATTCTTTGCATTGTTATATGTAGAGACTGTGAAGCTTTACACATTTGATGATAGACTTCAGGAATGTCTCTATTAGAATTATAAAAGTGTAATTGTAAGTGAATAGTAGAGCAGCCAAACATAGGATCGAAATGATGGGCTTTTCTCAGCAGTTATTTACATTTCCTGGATTCTTTCCATTGTAATATGTAGAGACTGTGAAGGTTAATGCATGAGATGGATGATCTAAAAGATATCTCCTAATAGAATTGGAAAAGTGGAATTTTAACTGAAAATTGCTTCGGCCTAACCTCTATTAATTGAACACTGCTATGGGCAAACATAAATCAAATGGATGGGAGTTTCTCAGAGACTGTTTACAATTTCGGGAATCTTGGCATGGTTCTCTGTAGAGATTGTGAAGCTTTATACATGTGATGGTTTACCTAAGAGATTTCTCTGTGTTAGAACTGGGAAAGTGGAAGGGTAACTGAGTACTTCTATGGCCAAACATAAGATCAAAAGGATGGCATTTTCTCAGTAGTTGTTTATATTTCTTGAATTCTTTGCAGTGTAAAGATTGTGAAGCTTAATGCATAAGATGGAGGACTTAAAAGATATCACTATAGGAGAATTGGAAAAGCGGAATTGTAACTGAACACTACTTTGGCAAGACCTATGTTAATTAAACACTACTATGGACAAACGTTGGATCAAAAGGATGGAATTTTCTCAGCATTTACCATTTACCATTCTGGAATTCTTTGCATTATAGTATGTAGAGACTGTGAAGCTTTATACGTGTGATGGTTTACCTAATAGATTTCTCTGTGTTAGAACCAGAAGTGTGGAATTGTAAGTGAACACTGCTATGCCCAGACATAGGATCGAAAGGATGGAATTTTCTCAGGTGTTCCTTATATTTCTTGCATTCTTTGCATTGCAATATGTAGATACTGTGAAGGTTAATGCATGAAATGGAAGACCAAATAGATGTCTATGTATTAGAATTTTAAATGTGAAATTGCAACTCAACACTGTTATGGCCAAACATAGGATTGAAAGAATGGGATTTTCACAGAAGCGGTTTACAATTCTAGGATTCTTTGCATTGTAATATGTAGAGACTATGATGCTTTATACATATGATGGTAGAACTAAGAGATATCTCTGTATTGGAACTGCAAAAGTAGAAGTGTAACTGAACATTTCTATGTGCAAACATGGGATCGAAAGGATGGGATTTTCTCAACAGTTGTTTATATTTCTTGGATTCTTTGCACTGTAATAGGTAGAGATTGTGAAGCTTAATGCATGAAAGGGAAGAAATTAAAGATATCACTGTCAGAATTGGAAAAATGGAATTGTAACTGAACACTACTAAGGGAAAACAAAGATTTAAAAGGATGGGATTTTCTCAGCAGTTGGTAACATTCCTTGGATTCTTTGTATTTTAATGTGTAAATACTAATGCTTGAGATGCAAGACCTAAAAGATATCTCTGTAGTAGAATTGGAAATGTGGAAGTGTAATTGAACTCTATGTTGATGAAACCTATGGGAACTCCTCAGCAGTTATTTACATTTCTTAGATTCTTTGCCTTGCAGTAAGGAGAGACTGTGAAGCTTTATATGTGTGATGGTAGACATAAGAAATATCCCTCTATTACAATTGGCATAGTGGATTCATAGTAACTGAACCCCACTACGGCCAACCATAGAATCGAAAGGATGGGAATTGCTCAGCAGTTGTTTACATTTCTCAGATTGTTTGCATTATAATACGTAAAGACTGTGAAACTTTATTCATGTGATAGTAGACCTAAGAGATGTCTTTCTACTAAAATTGGCAAAGTAGATTCATTACAATTGAACCCTACTGTGTCCAAACCTAGAATCGAAAGGATGGGAATTTCTCTGCAGTTATTTCCATTTCTCAGATTCTTTGCACTGTAATACCTAGCGACTGTGAAACCTTATGTATGTGATGGTAGACCTGAGAGATGTCTCTCTATTACAATTTGCAATGTGAATTCATTACAATAGAACCCTATCATGGCCAAACATAGAATTGAAAGGATGGGAATTTCTCGGCAGTTGTGTTGAGGGCCAGCACTGAAAGTCAGAGGATTTACGCCAGTCCAGGTTTTACCTATTGATTTCCTCTATCCGATGGCTGCCTAAGTCAGAAATGTGGGCTCTCCAACCCCCCCTTGCTCTGTCTGTCTTGAGAACAGAAGGACCTTGAAGATTACAGGAGACGAGGAAACAGTTCAGGGGGGGACTCCCCCTGGTTACTGTTCCCATGAGAAAAATAATTGTTGATACTTTGCCTTTGCTACTCTGGGTGCTGTTTCCCTGAGTGAAGTATAAAAACCCTAACCCTCAGATTAATAAACGGAGCTGGTTCTTTACTTGGATCCCACCTGGCCCGTGTATTTCTTTCTCTCTCTCATTCTCTACCATAGTACAAACACAGCCACTGATGCAGGCGCCCTGGCACAGTTGTTTACATTTCTTGGATTCTTTGCGTTGTAGTACATGGAGACTATGAAATTTTATGCATGTGATGGTAGACCTAAGAGATATATCTCTATTATAATTGGCAAAGTAGATTGCTTTGTTCAAGTCTGTTCTGAAATGGCAAACTACATTTAAAGAGGAAATTTTCATAGAAACCTTAAAAAACATTATATTATGCAGAAGAAGTAAAGAAAGGTTGAAGATAAAGTCATGCTGTGCAAGACATCTAAGATTACTGTGCTGTTAGATGGAAAGAAATATTAATAATATTATAGTAAGTATATCTTCAAAGGAAATAATATGGTGAGATTAAAAAGTAAGACAGAGAAGTCCATAAGACAGTAATACATTCAGTGTAACCAGGCAAGTTTTCAAGGACTTTGGCCGATACCTTTGGAAAGGGCTTTTCCTTTAATCTCTTTGCTTCAGTTTCTATGTATATAGCTTTCTTTCCCAGGAAAATCCCATTCTAAGCAGAATAACCT